TGATGTTTTGATCGTGATAAAAGGTCACCTTCCTAGGACCGCCCCCCTGTTTAATAATTCATGAGATGACGTCATATTTACTGGGCATTGCCACGTGTTTTTACCGACCCCATCAAAACACTGGTATGAATGACGTGTTTCTGATTTATATATTCAAGAGCAGTTGTTCTGGTCCAACGATTTTACATAAAATGTCTATGTCTATACGTCAACTTTCAATTTCAATAGTCTAGAAAAGTATGACAAAGTATGACAAAGCAGTAAATCCCGGTTTAACGCGCAAATATGCAAATTAGCCTTTTTCTCGTCTTCTATTTTTGGTGAATTCTTGGGTTTTAAATTAAAATAGCTGACAGACGCTTTGGCCATTTGCCTCGAAATTTTCACACATTATTGACAAGGTGTTCCCCCTTCAAAATGCGTCCGGACAGTTTATTACGGCGAGTGGAACAAAAATAACAAGTCCGCAATTAACATGGATATATAAAATTATGCAAAAATAGAAAAGAGTGAACTTTGAGGTCATGCTGTGCGACTTTGAAAGTCGTTAGAGAGATGAGTGGACGCATTTGAATTAGTAGTATACCAAGGTATCCAGTGATGTAATTTTACCCACAAATGGACTTGAAGTTTTTAAGCTAATTTTTTTTAAACCACTTTTGTCCAAAAAAGCATATTTTTGACCCAAAATCAAAAACGCATTCTGGATATTTAAAATAAAGACAAGTTTTACAAAGTTTGTATAATAAGCTTTCAGAAAATATATAACATGTTGGATATATAATACCATCTTCATTGTCTAATTACTCAATTAAACAGCAAGCCAAATAAACTGCATCTCTACCTTAAGTACTGATTGCATGTCTTTATCTGTAATAGCCCTTCAGATACGATAGTTACGCATTTTTAATTAGGTCACATGACCATAAATGGTCATTAAATATGTTGATCAGACTTAATGTGCAATGTTTCTATCTGCAATAGCGCTTCAAATATGATGCCATATGAACGTACAAACAAACACTGGTAACCTGGGGAAAATAGGCATATAACAATAACAACTTCTTTGTTTTTTGGGATATGAGTTGGTCACTTATTCAAAGATTAGTTGATGAGTGGAAGTCAGTAAATCATGGCAGAATGTACTAACCTATTTGTCCAATAAATTCAATTTTGATTCCTTGATGTTCCATTTTTTTCCCTTTCAATGTAATATTAACCTGCAAGTTATGTAACAGAGCAAGGCACTTAATAGTATGCATTCAATAAATATCAACAAAACAACAATAAACACACACAAGGGCAGTAATAAGGGAAACAATTTCATTGGATAGACACATAAGAAAAAAAAAACAGGCTTTGCTTTTCAGCATCAGTTTGAAAACTGCACCTCGCTCGAGTTTTTTTTTATACGTAATTTCACATATCAGTGAAGTAAAATGGGGAAATGTTTATTTTCTCCTTTCGAAGGATATTTGTGAATCCAAATTATTATCAAGTATTTTAATAAATGTTGAAATAGGGTTACTAATTTCATTGAAGTTGCATATCTTTGCCACAGATATAACAAAATTAATTAAGACTCACCTTTCCTGTAACTGATTCGCCATCATAGTACAGATATAATTTCTCTTTTTTACCATCTTCAGTTTTTATTTCAGCCTGTTTTCTACTGGCTTGTCCGTCTAATGCAATGTCAATCTCAGCATTTGATCCAAATAAAAAACTCTAGAATAAAAAGAGATGAGGTGGATTGTACACGAAGTGCAATTTGTTTCATTCACTTTTATTGAAATGTTTACTGGAAATTACCCACTTACTGGTATATTTGTTTTTCCAGCATTTTGGTAATAAATTCACCAAATTTGTGAATTATTTTGAATGTGATAAAAATGGCAATTTAAAAAACAAAACAAACAAGGTTATTAATTTGTAATTTCCTTTCTCACAAGTCTTGTCCTTGTTTTACTTTTCGATTTTAGACTAAATGGAAGAATATATATGCAATATAACACAATTAGGACATGTCTGGATCTGCTCTCTAATACATGGCTGTGAATGGTACCAGGATTTTCAATTTCATCCCTATTGAATTCAAATTAACACCCCTTTTTGCACATATGTAGACAAACGAAACTAGTTTTACCTCTTGCACACACATATCTTGAATTTACAAATTATGATTTTGATTTGTATAAATAAAATCACAGACGTTTTGGGTTTTTAGGGAAGACTACTAGGGGAAACCTAGTGTTAAAACATATACACTGTAGCAATATTATTATATTAACATTACGTAATTTTATTGCACCCCCTCCACCCAATCTAAATTCACATAGCTCGTATGGTGCCACGCCATAAATACTAGTATTTACCCTAGTTGTGTGGTTGCTTTCAAAATCGCGTACTCAAGTGTTTGCCCAGTGTCCCGTACGATCGTAAGTACTTGTATTATGATTGCAGGGGGGTGGAGATCTGATCGTGAAGAATCAGTAAGTCACTAGTCGTGTCACATTTAACTGTGATTCAGTCAGCTAGAGATTTAAAACAATGAACAATTAGTCTTATACACTTAATTCATCTTCGCATCTTGACGAGATGACATTTGCGCTTCACAAAACGAGTAAAATCACGTAAAGCTTACCATCTTCCTGATTTACACTCGTGATGATGAGATCAAAATGGCCGACGGTTCGTTTGTTTTCGCTACTTTACTCAAATGATTTGTTCTTTTTTTTTGTTTAGCTCTACGGATCTTTCAGATTTATTTGACAAATGCCGGGAAAACATTCGCATTACTACAAATACTTCCAGCTAAACCAATGTTGCATATAGTTTACTAACAAAGGGGTCCGGAAAAGAGTGAAACAGGAGATTTACAACAAAATTCTTATTCTAAAAACGAAAGAAACTTGTGGTGGCGCCTGTTGTACTAGGCCCTTACTGCTTTTTTTCGTGGATTGAACCACATTTTAATATATATTATCAAAATTCATGTACAACTGTTCATTGGGATATAAGTGAGCCTTTTTCGAAATTCAGTGGTTGAAAACCATGTTTTGGGGAAATTAGGGCAATTTTTCAAGATAAAAAAATAAAAAATGAGAAATAACCAAAATTGTATTATATATTATTATTGATACAAATCCTGATGTTGTCAAAAATAAACATATAATTTAGTCAGTTTCTAATATGATAATAGTTTTCCATTATATAAATTATTTCCCATAATGCATTGCATTAATCAGTCGTGCATCAGTTTTCGCTGAACTGTGAGTCAGATCACGTGACCCGGCTGGGCGCTTTGAGCTTGCGCGTAGAGGCGGGGACCAGACAAGCATCAGTTGAATTCCGCTAAGACATCCGATTACACATGGTGATAACACGTGGTAAACGCAATGATAAAAATTCATTGGGGTGATGTTTGCGATAATGGCTGTAAGAGTACTCCTTGTGCGGGGGAGGGGTCCCTCACAGTCCCTCTATGTGGGCGAACTTTGTATAGAGTTGACTTTCTGCTCGTAATGACTAGAATGAACAAAATAGTGCAGTGGGTACGTACTCCGTGCTCTATTTTCCCCAGTCATAAACGTGTTCAAATATTTTTCCCCACTTTTCATCTTGGTGAAACCCTAGGGATAAAACCCTCGTTTTGGTGGTACATATTGCATAAATCGTTCAATCAGTGATGAAATACTAAAAAAAAATATGTTGCGCATGCGTTCTGCATTTACCAGTACGTATACAGGTAATCAAAACTCTGTTTTCTGTATTTCATCGAACGATTACTAACATGGTTGATGTCTATTTTTTATCAAGATACAATGTTCAGTGCATATCAGTGTTGCTGTTATGAAAGAGAGCATTTGGTCAAACGCGAATTTTACAAATGTATAATAATAATATCATTATTATACATATCTCTGATTATTAGTTGTGTCGAGTGTACGAGTTTGTTAATTGCATAATACGTCGTTTGCATTCCTTTTATTTTTCTCGAGCGCAGTGGGACATCACAACGAATAAATTACACTTATTACTACAAAGTAAAATCATCAATATCACAACGTCAGTGTGGAAGAGTCTCGATGATCTCACCAACGTTTATTGTAATAACCTACCAAGACCATCAGTAAGTTGATATCTTTCATTGTATATTTCAAACTTAGCGTAATTATGAGTTTAACAAATTACTAATGTACTATTTAGATTGATAGTACTCGTAGTCGTACTGTTAGCCTGACAAGGTCGCGTGAGTTGCGCCCCGTGGTACTCCAAACCCAGTAGTCTGAAGCCGTTCGGCCGGCGAGGGCGCCACTCCTAAATGTCAGGCTATTCGTACGTCTGTCTCTCGTTCATTTCTTTGCAACGCATTTACATATTCATATTGAGTGTGTAATTTATTATTACGTCATCTGTCCTAGGGTAACTGAAATACAAAGACGATTAAACTACGTATTGACAATTGTGTTGGCTGCCACAAATAATGATTGCCTTGGGTATGTGCTCTTTTACAGGGCATTCAGAATTGGAAATCAGATGTCAAGTTCGGAAAACAAAGACTAACAGGGTGTAATCCAACGATGATCAGGCTATGCACCGAAATACCAAACAAGTAAGTGTAACGTCACCAATGCATGTGCTGACGTAAATCATTATCACGTATGGCGTCATTGAATGTACTAACATATCATATGACATCATTTATATTAGTCATACCCGCGTGGGTGCACGTAAGTATATGTATGATTTGGTTGTTTTCTTCTCTTTGTTTGCCGCTCCAAAGGCTAATAAAATATTATTATTATTATTATTATTATTATTA